GTCCTGTAGCCCTGACTTTTGTCAGGTGTGGTAGTTAAGATTGTGGGTCAACGTGACTGGCCCTGGTTGAGTGGCTGGGCAGCTATATATAATTATTCCCCATGGTGAGATTGGCAATTAACTCCATGATGGAATCAACTGGAGCAGCTGAGTAGTTGCCTTAGGGATGTGGACAGCTTCCAGTATATAAGAAACAACTTTGAGGAAGGTCTCTAGCTTTTTGGCACGCTTGAACCCTACATGTAGTCAAGTCATTGTTCAGCAGCCTGCCATGCCCTGCTCATCTTGGGACTTTTTCTGGACTTGAATTAGTGGCCTGCCATGTTATTTGGGTGATATCAGGACTGTGCCTTTTCACTTGTCGACCTTGGGTTTGTCAACCTCGGGTTTGTCAACCTCAGCAGCCAGCTGCTGCCTGAGTGAAGAAAAGCCTCTAGCTTCAGTGTGCTGGGAGCAAGAGGCAGAGCTGAAGCCCAAGGCTGAGGGGCTTTCACCCAGGCCCTAGAGCCTGGCATGTTGAACTCAGACTTCTAGCTTCCAAAATTATAAGAGAATAAACTCTTGTTTGTTAAAGATATTTCACCTACGGTGTTTCTGTTCGAGTGGCACAAGTAACAAAAACATCACTATTATAATGAGTCAGGCACTGCCTCAGTTTTCCCCAATGAGGGTTGAGCCTTTGTGGAATCTCTCTTCTGTGCAGATGAAGATGGCAATGTCCCATCCACCTTCAATTGTAATTTTAATAAAACCCAAAACCAAACTCACTTCCATTGAGTCAGTTCCAACTCATAGTGACCCTCATTGGGTTTATGAGGCTGTAAATCTTTACAGAAGTAGATTGCCCTATCTTCCTTCTATGGAGCAGCTGGTGGGTTTGAACAGCTGACCTTCTGCTTAGCAGCCAAATGTCTTATCCACTATAGCACCAGAGCTCATAGTGGGAAGAAATTGCCCTGTATCATCTACACTAACCAACCCCCACAAATACTGATAATGTTCTGTGTCCACTTGTTCATCCATCTGTCTGTTCATTTGTTTCTCCATCTACTTGTCAGTCTGTCTGTCCACCTGTCCTAGATTCAGTCCCAAACGAAAGGTGTTGCTAATGTCAATGGAAATAGATCATTTTTCTACATCAGATTACCTGGCTGTGTAAGAACTGCACTCATGTCCTCTGTGTGGTGGTGCAATTGGTCCTGGCCATCTAGCAGTGGCTCTTTTTTAGAAGGATTTACAGCAACCTGCCAGTCATTGCCTTTCATTGTTGAATGAATGAAGTTGTTCAGAAGTTATAATACAAAAAAGATTAGTAAGTTACAGCCTTACCTGGAGGTGCAGAAGAAGATGTGTGTTTAGCTGCAGATATCACTGTAGATGTGGGAAGTAGATTCACAAGGGCTAGTGATAGGTGAAAAGGAGGGACTGTCATTAGGGAACAGTCAGACATTTGGAGAAGACAGCCACTTCAAGGGCTGCCTCCTCCTCTGAGGATTTAGCATTCCAAGGCCAGTGTCTTCATAGTCCAATGATTTCCATTTAGGCCAGAACATGGCATTGCTAAGTGCTGGCAAACCAGCATACCCTCAGTGGCCATCAATGAAAGCAAATTTCATGGGCAATTGGCTCCAGTTGGCCTGCTCCGTGAGAGGTCATCAGTTGACCACCTTCTCTCTCTTCTCTGACCTCTCCTCACATATGCTACTGTCATGACTTCATGCAAACACAGCACAGAAGGTCACACAGCAGATCCATGGGGGGAGGATGAGATGACCTCTGCAATGGCTTGAGGAAGCCTCTTAGGAAGAGACAACACAACTGTATACAATCACCAAAATTCATGAAATAGTCTTACAATGGTTGAATTTTATGCCATGTAAATAGAACTGTAATAAAAAATTAGATGGATTGATGGCTGAACAGAGGAATGGATAGATGGCTAGATAAACGTATCATAGAATTTAGGTAGGAGCTCATGATAAAGTCTTCAAACATTGCTATTTATTTGAAAATGTTCGTAATAAAACATCAGGAAAAAAAGTGCCCCTCAACTGCTGTTACAGGACCTACTTCTCTGTTTTCAACAACAACCTCTTGCTTTCATAGCGGCATGTACATAATTCAGCCAGTCCATGTGATCACTTGTTTTTTCCTTCTTAGAGTATGTCAAAAGCATGGAATTTTAGGAAGCATGGAATCTTATATACTTGTTCTAATGAGGAGTTGTGTTGTTGTTGTTATG